CTTGTGTAAGAATCAAATGTATACTTACAGGTAAGTAATCTTTTTCTGTCATTTAAAAAAGTCAGTAAATTCTTCATTATCTAATTGAGGCTTTTATTCTACAGGTGATGCATTACTCATTGAGCTACTTATAGACAATTCTAGACCTTCTGTACCAGTACTGTCTCATAAAAGTATAGTGTAAGCCACATGTATGGAATTTATAGCTTTCTGGTACCTATAAAACCTTTTTAGTAAGTTACAGGTGAAATTAATATATTTAAGCCAGTATAGCTAAAATATTATTTCATCATGTAATGAATATGACAATTATTAAGATATTTCATACCTGTTTTTTCTCTGAGTCTTCAAATCCTCATGTGTGTCTAAGAGCACATCTCACTTCAATGAACTGCATTTCGGTGTTCAACCATATGTGGCTAATAGCTTGTGGACAGCTCAGCCCTGTAATCACCAACATCAGGTGGAGTAGCAGCTTTGTGGCTTGGGTGGAGGCAGGTAGAAAAACTGGCCGAATGAGCAACTTTCTTCCAGGAGGCAGATGATCTGAGCACTCTGAAAGCTATTTTTGTTAACTTATCAGTTAATGAGTACTTGCCTGATTTAAGCTTCTTTAGAGGAGAAACAAATATTGTCAGAGTGAGTTAAGCTCAATATCCATTTTAGATTTCAAAATGGTAAAATTTTGCCAAAGATTATAATTTCAAATTGGAACTTCGAGAATTGAGTTTAGGCTACTATCACAGTGAGAAAGAAACGGTCTTCATTTGTAATATAGCTTGACTGCTGCTTGACTTTGTGTAGTTTATAAAGATCTTCAGGATCAAAGAAAATCAGCAATTTATTATTCAGTGATCTCTTTTTCTTTGGACTGATGTTAATAGGTGGCTACAGTATCAGAAAAGTCCCGAATTATGGAACTAGAAAAAGACCTAGCATTGAGAGTACAGGAAGTAGCTGAGCTCCGAAGAAGGCTAGAGTCCAGTAAACCTGCTGGGGATGTGGATATGTCCCTTTCCCTTTTGCAAGAAATAAGTTCTTTACAAGAAAAGTTAGAAGCCACCCATACTGACCACCAAAGAGAAGTAACTTCTCTGAAGGAACATTTTGGAGCTCAGGAAGAGATGTTTCAAAAAGAGATCAAGACTCTACATACAGCTACTGAGAAGCTTTCCAAAGAGAATGAGTCCTTGAGAAGCAAGCTTGACCATGCCAACAAGGAAAATTCTGATGTGATAGCTCTGTGGAAGTCCAAACTAGAGACTGCCATCGCATCCCACCAGCAGGCCATGGAGGAGCTGAAGGTGTCCTTTAATAAAGGGATTGGAACAAACTCAGCTGAATTTGCTGAGTTAAAGACACAGATAGAGAAACTGAGACTAGATTACCAGCATGAAATAGAAAATTTGCAGAATAAACAAGACTCTGAACGGTCTGCTCATGCTAAAGAGATAGAAGGCCTAAGGGCTAAACTGATGAAAGTCATTAAAGAAAAGGAGGACAGCCTGGAGGCCATCAAGTCAAGACTGGACAAAGCAGAAGATCAGCATCTAGTAGAAATGGAAGACACATTGAACAAACTGCAGGAGGCTGAAATAAAGGTAAAGGAGCTAGAGGTTCTGCAAGCCAAGTGCAATGAACAAACCAAGGTCATTGGTAATTTTACATCACAGCTCAAGGCTGTCGAAGAAAAACTCTTGGATCTTGATGCACTTCAGAAAGCCAGTTCTGAAGGTAAATTGGAAATCGAGGCACTTAGACAGCAGCTTGAGGCAGCTGAGAAACAGATAAAAAATTTAAAGATTGAAAAGGATGCTGAAACTAGCAAGGTTTGTATTGACATCCTCCATCATTGCTCTTTTTTTCTCTTTTTTTCAAATATTTTATTTATTATTTTTATTTTATGTGTATTGCTTGCATGTATGGAAGTGCACCCATGTCATGTCATAGAGTGCCCTCGGAGGTCAGAAGAGGGTGTCAGATCCCCTGGAACTGGAGTCATGGACAGTTGTTAGCTGCCATGTGGGTGCTGGGATTCGAACCTGGTCTTCTGTAAGAATATTCAGTGTTCTTAACCACTGAGCCATCTTTCCAGCTCCCCCTTTTCCCATTTGTTGTTCTTATTTTGCACTTTGCGTGTTCCTTTTGAGTTGAGGTCATTCATCTTCAAAATCTCTGGTTTGGCTAGACAACCTTTGTGATGCAACCACTTGAGTATAGCAGAGAATCTCAAGTATGGCTTCATCTGAGGAGTTTAGAGAAAATAATGCCCCAGCCTTGGGAATTTTAGTTTCCTAACATCTGGAAACTCTGTTACTTTTTCTCTTGGCTCTGATATAAACTCCTTTTTCTTTTTCTTGGTCTCACTGTGTAGCCCTGATTGATTTGGAACTCCCTGTGTAGACCAGGCTGGCCTTTAATGCACAGAAATCCACCTGCCCTTGCCTCCCAAGTGCTGGGATCAAAGGCATGCACTACCAAGGCATATGCTACCATGAACACCTGGTATGAATGCCTATTTAAGCTTAGTTCCAGGCTGTACTCTCTGTTTAAAATAGGAAACTCCTTAAAACGGTGATGTTAAGGTGAATGAATGAATAAATGAATGAATGAGTCGGGGAGAGAGAGGGGAAATTTACAGGGTTAGACTGGGCATGGTGGTTCATGCCTATAATCCTAGTACTCAAGATGAGGGAAGAGGATCACCAGTTAATTTCCAGGCCAGTCTGACTTAGATTCTGTCAAACAAAAAAAAAGAAGGAAGACATTTATGAGGCCATCTCTTCCTTTCCTACTCACATTGCTCCCTTGTTTGTAGGGTTATATATAAAAGTGGAGCATGAACACTTCTGTGTTCCTTGACTGTTGTAAGTAACATTCACAACAAAAGTAAGGTCCGGAGCCCAGAGCCCTTTGCATTGTAACCATATTTCCATGTCACAATGAAGAAACTTATCTAATCCTCCTTTTGGGGGGTAGAGAGAAGATTAAGACTGGGTCTCACTGTATAGCCCAGGCTGGCTTTGAACTCCCAGTCCTCTTGCCTATGTTTCTCAATTGTCAATGTTATGATGTCACTGGCATGCACCACTATGTCCCTGTCCCTTTTTGTTTTTGTAGGTCAGGGTCTCACTATGTAGCCCAGGTTGTCCTGGCACTAACTTTGTAGCCCAGGCTGGCCTTGAGTTCTCAGTGATCCTTCCTGCTTTTCTTTTCCAAGTACCAGGATTACAATAGGCATGCATTACTTCTCTTCTCCTGGCTTTTCCCTGTTTGTTTGTTTGTATTGGAAGCAAGGGAGACTAGAATAAAGTGTGATTTTGGTCAAGGTATGGGAAGCTTTGAAATATTTATCAGCTACATTTCTTCCTTTCTTTCTTTTCTTTCTTTCTTTCTTTCTTTCTTTTTTTTTTTTTTTTTTTATTTTGTTTTCCAGGGTTGATTGATTAACTGCTTGATTTTTGCAGTACTGGAGACTGAGAATAATGTGGCCTTGAACTCACAGAGATCCGCCTGCCTCTGCCTCCCAAGTGCTGGGATTAAAGGCGTGCACCACCATGCCCAGCTAGTATATTTTTACTTTTTAAAAATAGCCATTAGAGGGGCTGGAGAGATGGCTCAGTTGTTAAAAACACTGACTGTTCTTGCAGAAGACCTGGATTCGAATCCCAACACCCACATGGCAGCTAACAACTGTCTGTAACTCCAGTTCCAGGGGATCTGACAGCCTCTTCTGTCCTCCGCAGACATTGCATGACATGGGTGCACTTACCTACATGCAGGCAATATGCGCATACACATAAAATAAAAATAATAAATATATTTTTTAAAAAAATAGCCATTAGAGGGGCTGGAGAGATGATCAGTGGTTAAGAGCACTGGATGCTCTTGCAGAGGACCCACGTTCAGTTCCCAGCACCCACATAGCAGCTCACAAACACCTGTAACTCCAGTTTCAGGGGATCTGACATCCTCTTCTGGCCTCTACAGCCTGCTGCATACATGTGCTGCACATAAATGAGAACAGGCAAACTTATAAACTTAAATATAATGAATAAATTAATTAAAAATATATTTTAAAATAGTCATTAAAGAGCCAGGTATGGTAGCACATGTTTGTAATCCCAGCATTCTGGAGGCAGAGACCAGTGGATCTCTGTGAGAATTAGGCCAACCTGGTCTACATAGTGAGTTCCAGTCCAGCTGGGGCTACAGGGAGACCTTGTCTCAAAAACATAAAAAAAGTCATTAGACAATCATACCTAGAACTGATCTGTTTAAAGATCCACTGGCTTCTTAAAATTAAAAAACATTTTATTCCTTCCAGTTTGGTTTTGTTGTTTTTCATATTTTTTATGTTTGTTTTATTTTTTCCTTATCATTGTTTTTTGTTTCCTTTTTGTTCATTTACTTCTGTACCATGTAACTCTGTATATTAGGCTAATATCATTGCCAAAGAGCTCCAGGGAAAAGAGGTAAAGCTCACTTACCTTCAGGACAATTTGAGTGAAGTCAGTCAAGTGAAAGAGGCTTTGGAAAAAGAACTTCAGATTTTGGTAAGTACTTGTTGGCTGGGAATCTGAATCTCAGTATTCCTGGCCTTTTCCCGTTTAAGAGAAGGTTTTCCATAAAGAAAGGAATATTGAACCTTGTTTTTTTCTTCTTCAACATATTGATTTAAATTGAGTGTATTAATGGTTGATAAATACCTTCAGGGAAACTGGATCAAACCAAACTAAGCAATAAAGGTAGGTACTACTTTTTGAAAAATCTGTTCTTTTCTTCTGGTGAAGACTACCTTGGACCATTTTGGTGACTGTTCAATTTTACAAAACACAGAGACCTCCCCAGTCACTATCAGGGTTCATTGATAGCGAGGCTCTTTCTTGCACTGCAACTTCCAATGTCTGCTTTGTGACCCTGGGCAGCAGCTGTCCTGGTCTTCTGTGCCCTCTATTGGTGTGTGGTGTGCTATCTAATTTAATTCCTACCATTCAATTGTATTCCACCTTTATATGGTTCCTCTCTATTGACATTTTTTTAAAAAAAAAACTTTTCTCACCTCCCCTGCCTCTTACCTTGTCTCCGGTACCACAGTTTGACCTTAAGGGTGATAATTGTGGACAGTGGCTGTAATGTTCATGTTTCATGGGAGAGGAAAGCTGTAGGCTCACAAACTAGGTAAGAGAAACAGTAGCTGCTAAGACAAAGTTGTCCCAACTCTTCCATGCCACCCCACTGTGCTTTTAGCTAGTTACAGTGGTGAATAAAGGTATTTTTTTTCTTACATAAATGGTCTGCTAAAGTTTTCTACTCCCCCCCCCTTTGGTACGCAATAATTATTATTCAATTTTTACCACCACACAACTTCTGAGTGGTTTCCATGGCTATGTATTTGATTATCAATTTAAGATAACACATAAGTTACTATAAAAATGAATGTTTTAAGAAAAGTTAATGAGGTTTACAATTTGGCTTAGAAGAAATTTGAAACAGTCTCACTTGGTAGCCCAGGCTGACCTGGAACTCACTGTGTAGCCCAGGCTGTTCTCAAACTCACTGCAATTTTCCTACCTCAGCCTTCTAAGTTTTGGGATTTACAGATGTGAGCTCAAATTTCTATGTTAAAATTTTTTATTTAAAAAATTTTTTGAGGCAGGCATGGTGGCGAATGCCTTAATCCCAGCACTTTGGGAGGCAGAGGCAGGTGGATCTCTGTGAGTTCAAGGCCAGCCTGGTCTACATAGCAAGTTCCAGGTCAGCTTCGGCTACAGGGAGGCCCTGTCTCAAAAAGACCAAAAAAAGGCCTGGTGTGGTGGCGCACACCTTTAATCCCAGCACTTGGGAGGCATAGGCAGGTGGATCTTTGTGAGTTTGAGGCCAGGCTGGTCTACATAGTGAGTTCCAGGACAGCTGGGGCTACAGGGAGACCCTGTCTCAAAAAGACAAAAAAAAGACCAAAAAAAAAATTGTTTTTTGATTTATTTATTTTTATTTTATGTATATGAGTGTTTGACTTGCATGTATGTAAGTGTGCATGCAGTGCCCTCAGAGGCCAGAAGAAGGCATCAGATCTCCTGGAATTGGAGGTAGGGATGGTGGTTAGCCACCATGTTGGGTACTGGGAACTTAATCCTAGTCTTCTTCAAGAACAGCAAGTACTCTTAACCACTGAGTCATCTCTTCATCCCAAACTTCTTTTTATTTTTATTTTATTTCTATTATTAATTATTATTATTATTATTATTTTGGTCTTTTTGAGACAGGGTCTCCCTGTAGCCCCAACTGGCCTGGAACTAACTATGTAGACCAGGCTGGCCTTGAAGTCATAGAGTTCTGCCTGCCTCTGCCTCAGGAGTGCTGGGATCAAAAGCCACCATGCCCTGCCTAACTTCTACTTTTTTTTTTGGTCTTTTTGAGACAGGGTCTCCCTGTAGCCCCAGCTGTCCTGGAACTCACTATGTAGACCAGGCTAGCCTTGAACTCACAGAGATCCGCCTGCCTCTGCCTCCTAAGTGCTGGGATTAAAGGCGTGCACCACCACACCCAGCTATAACTTCTACTTTTTAAATGGCAGTTATATAGCTATTGTTGCTTTCCATATAGAGCTATATGAATTGTTACATTTAGTAAAATTAGAAATTTTGTTTCTCTGTTGCGCATTAAGTGCTTAGTAGTCACATTGTAAAAACTCCTGTTGTACAGTTCTTGTATATAATATTTTAGCTACATTTCAGAGGGGATAAAATGGCCTGGGAATCACCGTTTTGTGATTTGAAGCCTTTTTTCTTTTTTTCTTTTTGAGATAGGGTCTCCTTGTAGCCCCAGTTGTCCCGGAACTCAATATGTAGACCAGGCCGGCCTCCGCCTGCCTCTGCCTCCCAAGTGCTGGGATTAAAGGCATGCGCCACCACGCCTGGTGATTTGGAGCCTTTTAAAAACACATTTCTGGCTGGTGAGATGGCTCAATGGGTAAAGATGCTGGTTATCAAACCTGATGACTTGAATTCAAGCCCCAGGACCCACATGGTAAAAGGGGAGAATTGATTTCAATAAGTTGTCTTCTGACCACATGTGCACACACATATGTATGTGTGTATACATATGCGTACATAAATAAAACATAATTTTTTTTGAAAAAAAGAAAACCTTTTGAATTCTACAGTTCTCTGCCTTCCTTCTTAAACTTCCAGGATGCCTCACTTTTTTTTTTTTTTTTTAAAGAGTATTCTTGGGGTTGGAGAGATGGCTCAGCAGTTAAGTGTTCTTGCAGAAGACCTGGTTCAAATCCCTGCACCCACATGACAGCTAACACCTGTCCCTAACTCCAGTCCCAGGGGCCAGCCTCTTCTGACCTCCGTGGGCATTGCACAACACGGTGCACTCACCTACATGTAGGCAATACATGCATACACATAAAATAAAAATAATAAGCTGGGGCGTGGTGGCGCTTGCCTTTAATCCCAGCATTTGGGAGGCAGAGGCAGGCAGATCTCTGAGTTCAAGGCCAGCCTGGTCTACATAGTGAGTTCCAGGACAGCTGGGGCTACAGGGAGACCCTGTCTCAAAAAGACCAAATAAATAAATAAATAATAAATGAAATTTTTTTTAAAAGTATTCTTCATGTTTTTAGGAGAACATATGCCACTGGGAATGACAGAGATGGGCAGCATGGGCTTGTGGCTCATGTGCTTATCTTTTAATAATCCTAGTTAGTTAGAAATACTCATTTATAGAATCTCTTGTCATAGCTACCTTAAAATTTATCTCAGAACATGGTTTTACCTTAGCCTATTATCATGTTTTGAAAAGGAGACTGGGAGGCCAGAGAGATAGCTCAGAGGTAAAGAGCTGTTCTTCCAGAGGACCCAGGTTTGGTTTCCAGCACCCACATGGCAGCTAAAAAATGTCAGTAACTCCGTGGGCATTACATGCATATATACTTACATATATGGCAGGCAAAACAATCATAAAATAAAAACAAGTAAATCAAAAACAGAAAAAGGAGACCTTGAATAGTAGATGGAAGATGGAACATTTTGGTTTAAAAAGTTACAGACACAGACTTAGAGTCAAGATATTAGATTTGAATTTAGTTCAGGTTTCTCTGGTTACTCTAAAAAAAAATAGAACTCTATTGTCTATGGCAGTTTTTTTTTTTTTTTTTCCCCCATTCTGGTACTGGGGATTGAACCCAGGGCTTTGCACATGCTAGCAAGAGCTCTACCACTAAGCCACATCCCCAGTCCTCAGGCAGACTTCAGAAGAGAAGGTTGCTATTGAATTTAGGCACCATGACAAAGAATGTGCATTCACCCAATGTATAAACATATATACATATACTAATAGATATGCCCATTCATATACTTGTATACATGCATACAAACACATGTGCAAACCTCACTTGTGTACGTGCAAAGTTCACCATATAAATTTGTTAGTTCATTTGTGCCTACATGTTTTAGGTATGTTAATCTTAATGAAACAAGCTACCAAAAGTAGCATTGTAGTTGTAACTAATACACACTTTTAACATTTATTGCTTGCAAAATTCTTATATTGTGAATATCTGATTCTTTTTGTTTAGAAAGACAAGTTTGCTGGTTCTTCAGAGGAGGCTGTCTCAGTTCAGAGAAGTATGCAAGGTAGGTCTCACTGAAGTATGAGCAAACAGTTTTAGTGTGTCATTCTTGCACTGGGCTGGCTTTGGGTGTGCACAGTGTAGCTGCTGCCTGTAGACTAATCTCACAACTTTGGAAGTTGTACAGTAGTGCATTCCATTGGCTTCCTAAAGCCTCAAATTCCCAAATAGTTCTTTCTTTTTTTTTTTTTTTTTTTTAATTTAAGGCTTGTTCCATGTTAAAATCTGAGTATTCCTGAGAATGGATTATCTTATCTAAACTTTTACCAGTGATAGCTCTGGGTTGTTTGATTGGAAGGAGTGAAGAGATACATGAAAAAGGCATGCTTGAGGCCTGCCTGATGTACAGATATGGAAAGACAACAGAGCTGCACGTTTGCCTCCTTAGAGTCATATACAGTGGTGTGTGGCTTGTAGTGAAATTCAGTATTCCTGTGTTCCCAGATCTCATAAGCATGTGATTTGACTGGGTTATAGAGTCAAGTTCTAAGTGGCCTATTAATATGATATAAATTAAACTTTTATTAACTTTATCCTAATAGATACTGTAAATAAATTACACCAAAAGGAACAAGAGTTTAACACATTGTCTTCTGAACTCGAGAAGTTGAGAGAAAATTTAACAGGTAAGGTGATGTTCTATGGCAACTAGCCATTGAACAGAGCAGGTTGCCTAAGATGGTTGATGTGTATTACAATAAAATGCCTACTATTCAGACACTGCCTTTTCCCTTGGTGTGGTGATATAATACTTGAGATCTGAAACTTGAAAAAGTCGTCTTTTTCTTTGTTTTTAAAAAATCCATACTCTATCACACCCTCTGTTGTCTTTTTTTGTCTTTCATATAAACAGCTGTCCTGCTGACTACTTGCTTCCTGCTTCTGCCCTCCCTCCTTTTGTCTCTTCTAGGCACAGCAGCCATAGAGCCAGATCATGTCATTTCTCTGTTCAACATTGTCCAGGGCCTCCAATCTTACTCACTGAAAACTAGTCCTTACCCCATTAAACCCCTTTACCTCTAGGAGCCTGTCTCAGACTCTTCTTCCCCATGCTTACTCCCCCAAGCTGTATGGGCCTCCTTGTTGTTACAGAACATGACAGGACATGTTTCTGCCCTTGAGCCTTAGACTTGCTTTCCTGCTTCCTTCCCTTTCTTCAGGTCTTTACTTGAATTTCACCAACTCAAACGACTTCCGTTTAATATTTTGACCTTCCTTCAGTTTCCAACCTCCTTTTACTAGGTTTAGTTTTTCCCTCTTTGCACTTACTTCTATTACATTGTTTCTTTCTTCATCCTATTTACTGTCTGCCCTGATAAAATTTGATCTTTGTGAGGGCAGGGATTGCTGTCCCCTGGGCGAGGGTGCATTCTAAGTTTTTCTTGCTCTTAACACAGCAGTGCTATTTCTTTTCTCTATATATTCAGATATGGAGGCAAAATTTAGAAAGAAGGATGAAAGAGAAGAGCAGTTGATAAAAGCAAAGGAAAAATTAGAAAACGACATTGCAGAAATAATGAAGATGTCAGGAGATAATTCTTCCCAGCTGACAAAAATGAATGACGAGTTACGTCTGAAGGAGAGGTATGTATAAATGTGCTAAAGAGGATGCCTGCTATGGACTAGGCTCCACTGTAAGAACTAGGCAGGAGACAACAGGCTCAGACTTGTCCTGTTTTAAGGCTTCTTGGCTCTTTCTTTTTTTCCTCCTTTAAAAAAATATTTTTGTAGTTCTAGGGATTGAAGCCAGTGCTTTACCCATTTGAGCTACACTCTAGCCCTCTGTTCCTTTCTACTGCGACAGTGTCATTGAATCACCTGTTTAACCACCTTCCACCCCCAGCAATTCCATTGTGGGTTTCAGGGATTGAACTCAGGCTTGCACAGCAAGTACTTTTACCCACTGAGCCATGTCCCAGGCACCTGTTTAACCTTCTAAAAGGAGGTTTACCTACCTTACTTGTTTAGGTCAGAATTAAGGAACTCAATATTATCCATAGACCTTTCAGTGACTTATAAAGAGAAGGCAGTTATTTACTAATGGCAGTAAAATCTTTTACACATAGTTAAAGATATTTTTAACTTCCTTCACTGTAATAATAAATACCTCTTCAGGGCTTAGTGTGTGCTATGCACTATGCTAACAGCTCATAAAGAATATATTTTCTGCCGGGCATGGTGGCACACACCTTTGATCCCAGCACTTGGGAGGCAGAGGCAGGCAGATCTTTGTGAGTTCGAGGCCAGCCTGGTCTACATAGTGAGTTCCAGGACATCTGGAGCTACAGGGAGACCCTGTCTCAAAAAGACAAAAAAAAAAAGAAAAGAAAAAAAGAATTATTTTCTAACTCCCATTTTAAAAAGAAACTGAGGCTTTCTGGGATATAAATAATTTCACATATGAGCTTTCTGGTCTTGGTGACTTTACTGCTTTTACTAAATTGTACTTCCTTAGTTTCTATAAGTTACTGTCTGTCCTGATAAAATTTGATTTATCTAAGATCTGCTAATAATGTTCTGAGGTTCTAGTTGGCTTGGGTTTTGTTTTGTTTTTTCCTTCTTTCATACCAATAATATAGAAATCAAGTAGTTAATAAGGCTCAAAGATTTAGAGAACATTTTAGAATCACTAGAATTATACTTTGAAAGTATTAATACTTATAAAATTACATCAGGGCTGGAGAGATGGCTTAGTAATTACAAGCACTGGCTACTCTTGCAGAGAACTTGGGTTCAGTTCCCAGCACCCATAGGGTAGCTGACTACCATTTGTAACTCCATTTCTAGGTAATCCTATTCCCCCTTCTGGCCTCTGTGGTTACTACATGCATGTGGTGCACCTACATATGTGCAGGCAAAACATTCATACACATGAAATAAAAATAAATCTTTTAAAAAATAAAATTACATCAATATTCAGGCTTTCTCCCACACCTAGTTCAGGGTCAGTGGGTAGTTGATGAATAGGGCCTTTTGCTGGCAGCTTTGGTCTAGCTTGCTGTAAGACAGCTGCTGTTGAATGACACTGTTCCTGGGGAGATAGTATCCTCCTCATGTCAGAGAGGGAACCAACAACATATCAAATTAAGATACTACCAGAGTCCAACTTAGTGAGCCAGTGAATTTATTGGTGTTATTTACAGGAGCAGAGATGAATTTAAACACAGCTGTACCACTGAAAGTCCACTTCAGCATAGGTGACAGCCCATAAAAGTTGAAAACATGGAATACACTGTACAACTTACAGGCAGCTCAGCAGGTTGAAGAGTGTCTTCTTCCAGACAGCTAAGTTGGTCTGATCCTCTTCCAGACGGCTTAGCTTGGCTCTGTCTCTGTCTCTTCCAGGTGGCTTAGCTTATCTGAGAGTATTTCTCAGCAGTTCTTACTGCTTAAGTATGCTTCAGGAGGGAGGAGCCTAGTGAATCTGATCAGTTTCAGGGACATCCTAAGTAGTTTCCTTCATAAGGTTAAGGAGCTTTCCACAAGGAGGAATGCTTTATCTCAAAGAAAACTGCTAGACAACAGCCACACAGGTGGGTGTGTACAGGGCCTCCAGAGGTCTCTGCCTCTGAAGGTGTTTGACCAACACAGCTAGCTCGTCCTACATTTCCCTTATATGCTTGTTAATTCACTTGATGGCTCATTTTCTAGTTTAAGGTCCCCTTCTTTCTCTGCATCTTTAGGCAATAACTTAAAGATATTTATTATAATCTTTGTATTTTCTTTTCCCATGAGGCACTTGAATGACTTTTTGATAATCTATTCTGTTTAAAATTTGAAGCTGGTTTTCTTTAATATAGTTATCCTTAATTCTGTTTTTTTTGTTTTTTTTTTTTTTTTTTTTTTTTTTTTTTGAAGGGTCTCCCTATAAGCCCCAGCTGTCCTGAAACTCGAAACTCACTATGAAGACCAGGCTGGCCTTGATCTCACAGAGATCCGCCTGCCTCTGCCTCCCAAGTGCTGGAACTATATGTGTGCGCCACCACGCCTGGCCTTAACTCATTTCTTTATTGATGTATTAACATAAAGTAATACATCTTTACATTTAGTAGTTGTTACTCTGGTTTTTTTTTTTGGTCTTTTTGAGACAGGGTCTCCCTGTAGCCCCAAAAAAACAACAACAAAAAAACCCTATTCAATCAATAATTATGTCAATGATTTTAAAAATTTGTAAGTAATTACACCTGAAATTAAGACAAATTTTAAAATGACTTTATTGAAGAGTAATTTTTTTTGTTTGTTTGGGGTTTTTTTGAGACAGGGTCTCCCTGTAGTCCCAGCTGGCCTGGAACTCACTATGTAGACCAGGCTGGCCTTGAACTCACAGAGATCCGCCTGCCTCTGCCTCCCACGTGCTGGGACTACAGGCGTGCGCCACCACGCCCAGCTATTACTCTGAATTTTTAACAATCATAATTGTTAAAATTACTCTTCAAGCTTTGTGTGGTGGTGCGTGCCTTTAGTCCTAGCACTTGGAAGGCAGAGGCTGGTGGATTTCCAGGAATTCAAGACCAGCCTGGTCTACATAGTGAGTTCCAGGCCAGCTGGGACTACAGGGAGACCCTGTCTCAAAAAAACCCCAAACAAACAAAAAAAATTACTCTTCAATAAAGTCATTTTAAAATTTGTCTTAATTTCAGGTGTAATTACTTACAAATTTTTAAAATCATTGACATAATTATTGATTGAATAGGGTTTTTTTGTTGTTGTTTTTTTGTTTTTTTTGTCTTTTTGAGACAGGGTCTCCTGTTGGGTAGCCCCAACTGCCCTGGAACTCACTATGTAGACCAGACTGGCCTCAAACTCACAAAGATCTGCCTGCCTCTGCCCCCAAGTGCTGTGCTTAAAGGCATGTGCCACCACGCCTAGCTATTAGTAGGATAGTTCTAGTATAATCCTTTAAAGCATGAAAAGTCTGGCTCAGTGGATAAGGGACTTGCTATATAATTCTGAGAACCAGAGTTCAGATCCCCAAATCCATGTAATCTTAGCATGCCTATGTGAAGTAGGAGGTGGAGACAGGAGAGTCTTCAGAAACTCATGGTACAGCTAGTCTAGTATGTGCAGCAGTAAGCAGAAACCCTGCCTTAAGGTAGAAGGCACAGACTGATACCCAGGTTGTCTTCTGACTTCCACACATGTGCTGTGCTATAGGCATGCCTAGACTCACACATGAACATGCACCCAATGAATATACACATACACACTTACACATTATGTACATACACCTTACACATACCATTGCATACATATTTAAAAAATGACAAATCTGACAACTTGTGTTGAAACTCATTCCAGATCTGTGGAAGAACTACGGCTAAAACTTACAAGGGCCAATGAAAATGCAAGTTTTCTACAAAAAAGTATTGGGGAAGTAACTCTTAAAGCTGAGCAGAGCCAACAGGAAGCAGCTAAAAAGCATGAGAAAGAAAAGAAAGAATTAGAGGAAAGATTGTTGGACCTGGTAAGGAGAATAAAGAGAACTGCTAGCAAAAGTGGGTGGGGTAGTCTGTATGTGGCTAGATGCTTACCCCTTCTTTTGGGATTTCTGCAGGAAAAGAAGATGAAAACAAGCTACAACCAGTGTCAGGACCTGAAAGCCAGGTATGAAAAAGCCAGTTCTGAGACAAAAACAAAGCATGAAGAAATCCTGCAGAGCCTACAGAAGATGCTGATGGACACAGAGGAGAAGCTGAAGGCTGCTCAGGAGGCAAACAGAGGCTTGGTGCATGACATGGAGGAACTGAAAGCACAGGCCAATAAAGCCAAAGTATGTTCTAGGGGAGAAATGGTACGATTATATTACACCTTGCTCAAGTTCTGCCACCAAGACCGAAAGCTTGCAGATGTGATATGTTAGCTTCTTCATGCATGGCAGGGTGAAGAATTGCTTTTTTTGTGGCTTTAAGTGTTTTGTACCAGCTACTCTCCCTTATAGGAGAGGGTGATGGCTACAAGTCTTTCCCCTAAGTGTACTGTGTAGCCATCACTACCCCTGTTCCTGCTTGTCTCCAGCTGTCACAACCTTTTATGTTGTCTGAGCTCTGTCTGCTTGCTTATTGTAGACTCTGTGGTATAGGAAAGTATCTTCCTCTGATCTTGGCTGAACCTGCCTTGCGCTAGAGTTAAGAGAGATACATTTCAGAAAATTAGGAGGCAGAGGCCCAGAGAAGCTAGTGAGCAGTGTCAGAACTGGAAGCAGAGGGGTAGAGAGATGATTCAGCTATTAAGAGCACTGGCTGCTCTTCAGAGGACCCGTGTTTGATTAATTACCAGCACCCACATGGCAGCTAACAACCTTCTGAAACTCCCGTTCCAGGGGTTTCGATGCCCTCCTCTGGCCTCTGTAGGCATTGCAGACACATGATGCATATATACATACAGGTAAAATATTCATACATATAAAAAATTAATTAAAAAGGCTGGAGGCAGCCTACCTGTATGAACAAATTCATACAGGGAGAATTAGAAGTGAGGGCTTTTGTATGTCCCCAAGAAGGTCTCTGATCTTATTAACAAGGAAGCTGGGTTCAAGTGCTCAAGAAAAAATCTTTTTAGTTGAAAAGACTTGGTATATATATAAAACTTGGTATATTGAATTTCAATTTGTGATGGCAGAATTATATCTGCACCCTAATATATTTTTTGACTCTGGTAACTTACCAAAGTTTTCCCTTTGTTTGTTCCTACTGCTGTTTAACTTTTTATTATTCAAAGAAAATATTTGTCTTAAATCTTTGTTTTTAATGTGTTAGAAAAATGTTTATGTACAAGTTTACTAGAAGGAAGTTATGAAAGAGAACTTGAAACCAACCCTACTGGAAAACCCATTGGGGTTGGGGATGTGACTCAGTCGTAAAGTTATTGCCTAGCTTACCCTGGTATCAATTTCCTGTGCCAAAACAAAACTGTAAAAACCCTACACCACCTCCTGTTATTTAAGAGGACCATGATGTGCATGTCTAATGTAAGAGGCTGCAGTTTTCCTCTCCCATGTGCTGGCAGTCAGACTTTCTCTTATCTTTTTGGCTTTCTGAAACACCCCCAGCTTGATACAGCATTTAACCATATTCGATGCTGTCTTAACATCCCCTTTATCTGGAAGGTCTTCAGTTTTGTAGTGACGAGACCAAACCACAGCATTCTAATAGCTTGTGTGAGGCCTTACTGACTAGTGGTTTTGTATAAAATTCATTTGGTTAAAATAACAGGATTGTTCATCTTCCAAAGTTATCTATGATTTTAGTAGATTTTAAACTCTGGAGAATCTAATGAGACCTAAGGGTATTTTTACCCCAGAGAAGTTTATTTATGCATTCAGCAAGTTTTATATACCACTTTGGGCGGTCATAGAGCCAGTGAAGCCTCCGTATTCCCTGGCTTACAAACCAGTGACCCAAAGCTCTTCTGTGTAATACAATAGCCGCTAGCCAGATGAGGCTGTGTAACTTTAAATTTGTTACATTTTCGCAAAACTGCAAATCCAGTTCTTCAGGTGCACTTAGCATATTTCAAGAGCTCAGTGGTTACATGTCTATTGTGTAGGGTAACATGGATAACATGGTAACATTTATTTCATCACAGAAAATTCTGGGTAGTACTGATATAGACAGGAGATCAAGTTATCTTATAAATTAGTACATTAAAAAAATTTCATTTTTGGCTGAGCATGGTGGTGCACACCTTTAATCCCAGCACTTGGGAAGCAGAGGCAGGCAGGATCTCTGTGAGTTCAAGGCCAGCCTGGTCTACATAGTGAGTTCCAGGACAGCTGGGGCTACAGGGAGACCCTGTCTCAAAAAGACCAAAAAAAAAAAAAAAATTCATTTTTACCACCAAAGCCTAGAAATGTCTACATTTATATAACATATACATCGGGACTTAAGTCACTCTTAGTCCATTGATGCTCTTTGTAGTAAGTCCTTTTTTTAAATATTTTATTTATTATTTTTATTTTTAATGTGTATGTGTGTATTGCCTGCATGTAGATAAGTGCACCCGCATCATGCAATGCCTGCAGAGGACAGAAGAGGCTCTCGGATCCCCTGAAACTGGAGTTAGGGACAGCTGTTAGCTGCCATGTGGGTGCTGGGATTTGAACCCAGGTCTTCTGCAAGAACAGTCAGTGTTCTTAACTGCTGAGCCATCTCTCCAGCCCTGTATTAAGTCTTAAAAATCACTGATCTAGAGCTAGGCATGGTGGTGCACGCCTGTAGTCCCAGCACTCGGGAGGCAAAGGCAGGCGGATCTCTGTGAGTTCAAGGCCAGCCTGGTCTACATAGTGAGTTCCAGGCCAGCTGGGGCTACAGGGAGACCCTGTCTCAAAAAGACAAAAAAAAAAAAAAAAAAAAAAAAAAAAAATCACTGATCTAGCTGTGTGTCGGTGTACATCTCTAATCCTAGCACTTGGGAGGCAGAGCCAGGTGGATCTGTGTGTGTGAATGAGTTTGGGCTTCCAGGCCAGCCAGGGCTATGTAGTAGGTGAGACCCCTGTCTTAAAAAAAAAAAATTTTCACTGATGTAATTTCCCCTTGTTATTCATCCTCTTTTTTTTTTTTTTTTTTTTTTTTTGGTCTTTTTGAGACAGGGTCTCCCTGTAGCCCCAGCTGTCCTGGAACTCACTATGTAGACCAGGCTGGCCTTGAACTCACAGAGATCCGCCTGCCTCTGCCTCCCGAGTGCTAGGATTAAAGGCGTGAGCCACCATGCCTGGCTCATTCCTCCTTTTAATTAAAATATACTTACTGTTTTTTTTTAGTGGCATGGTCACCACCCATGGTGCATGCCTTTAAGCCCAGTACTCGGAAGGCAGAGGCAGGTGGATCTCTGTGAGTTCAAGGCCAGCCTGGTCTACATAGTGAGTTCCAGGACAGCTGAGGCTACAGGGAGACCCTGTCTCAAAAAGACACCCCCCCAAATAAATAAATAAATAAATAAATAAATAAATCTCACTTTTAATAGTTCCTTAATTTTTTTCCCTTTTGTACTTTAAAAAATTTTTCTATGGGGCTGGAGAGGTGGCTCAGCAGTTAAGAACACTGACCGTTCTTGCAAAAGACCCAGGCTCAAATCCCAGCACCCACATGGCAGCCACCAACTGTCCATAACTCTAGTTCCAGGGGATCCAAAAGCCTCTTCTGTCTTCTGTGGGTATTGCGTGACACGGGTGCACTTACATACATGCAGGCATAACACTCATACACATAAAAATAAAAATAACAAAATATTTTTAAAAATTCTTCTATAAATCTTTTCTGAGATAATAATTGGACAATTGGAATTAATCCCAATGTTAAAATCAAGCAACCTTTTTTCCTTATAGGGAGTTTTCAGGAATAATTTCTTAGGTTTCAAAGAGACAGCAATCTAATGGGTTCTCTAGTTTGCCCACTTTATTATTCACACAGTTTCTAAGAAGTATATTGTATAAAGTTCTAAATTTTCTCAGTTTAGGCTACACTAAGTTATTTGGGCTTGCATTTGTCTGCTCAATTTCATTTTGTTTCCATTCTTTCCATCTTTTGTTTCTGTAGTCGCTAACTTATTTGTTAACATCAGCCAAAAAAGAGGTTGAACTAATGTCAGAAGAGCTGAGGGGTCTGAAATCAGAAGCAGCTTCTTGTGCAGGAGGCAAATGCTTTAAAGTTAGAGAAAGGTTCACTCTTATCAAAACTTGTAGACATGGAGACCAACATAACTTTGCTTCAGGAAGACCAACAGAAACTGTGGTTGGTAAATGAAAGTCTCTATTTAGAAAAGGAGAAAGTCTTAGGAGAAAAGCAAGATACTGAAAAGCTTCATCAGCAGGAACATCAAGAGAAAGAATCTCTGGCTGTTGAGAGAGATAAACTGCTTCAGGAAATCAGTGTTGCCCAGGAAGAGCTCTTGAAGATACACATGGAAAATGACTCTTTGGAAACCTCCAAGGTGAACATGCAGGTGCTCATCGAGGAGCTCCGCTTCTGCAAAGATACTCTGATGGCCATGTCTGAGAAGGCTCGGGCAGAAAAAGAGCACCTGGAGGAGCAGGTCAAGAAGCTCACTGCTGAAAACCTCATTTTAGCAAAAGACAAGGATGATGTCATTCAGAAACTTCAGAGTGCTTACGAGGAACTCTTCAAGGACCAGAAAGCCTTGGTCCAGCAACAGAGAAGCAGTTGAGCCTGACCCTAAAGGCAGAGCGAGAGAGTCTTCAGAACAATAGAGACCTGCAGTTTGAGAAGGACACACTGTGGCAAGGCCAGGAGAAGTTGAGTGCCAGCCTAGAGGCCACCCTGCAGGTCAAACAGCTGCTCAGCACAGAAGCAGAAACCCTGCTCACACAGCTGAAATGCACCAGCAAAGCGCTGAAGAAGGCTGAGCTGGACATGAGGCAGCTTCAGACTAACAATACAAGCCTTACAAAGCTCCTAGAACAGATTAAGATTTGTTGGGCAATCACAGACTCAGAATGTATCCAGTTTCTCCATGAGAAAGAGACCTTGGCTGCTTCTGAGAGGAGGCTTCTGACTGAGAAAGAGGAACTTTTAAATGAAAATAGAACCATCACTGAAAAACTCAACAAGCACTCAGAAGAGACCACACATCTTAAGATGAACCTAAACGAGAAGATCACATACCTAACTTCTGAGAAGGAGGTGGCTTGTCAGAAAATTACTAGGCTTAAAAAGCAACAGGATAGTCTCTTGAAAGAAAAATCAGTCCTGGAAATGCAAAATGGAGATTTACTTGCAGAGAGGGAAAATTCTGTCAAAAGCATAGGCTATCTTAAAAGGAAGTATGACCAGGAGGCTGCAAACAGAAGAATAATTGTGCAGGACAAGATGAAGCTACTTGGTAATATTGATGCTCTGAAGAAAGAGCTTCAGGAAAGAAAGAAGGAAAACCAAGAGCTGGCCACCAGCAAGTGTGACCTCTCCTTGATGCTAAAAGAGGCTCAGGATGCCAAAAAGCATCTTGAGAAAGAACACACCAACATGATGCAAGCAAAGGAGAATCTGAATGCTGAGCTTAAGACTTGCTGTTGTAAAAAGAACATTTTATCAAGAGATGGCTTGAACCTACAAGAAGAGTGTCAGAAATAAAATGAAGAGATTCGTGAAATTCAGCAGTCCTTAATCCTGGAGAAAGAGGCTAGAGCAAAGGAAAATGAATCATCTTTATATGAAAACAGTAAACTTCATGGGAGGATGGTACTCTTGGAGGAGGAGATAGAGGGGTTGCTAGTATGTACTGAACAGCTCCAGATGGATAATTTTACATTAATCTAAGAGAAGACCAATTCAGAGCAAAAGGTAGTAGAAATCATTAAAGAAAAGGAGCTCTTGAGTGCAGAAACTGCTCACCTTGCTGCCAACATACCCTCAAAAGTGACTTTGCTGCCCTTTCCAAGTCCAAGTTGGAATTGCAGGAACTACACAGCTGCCTCACCAAGATCCTGAATGACCTCCGGTTGAACCATGAGGTGGCAGTGTCTGAGAGAGCCAAGGTGCTCAGGACAGCAAGGACCTCATGGCTGAGAAAGGAGAAATGATGCTGAGGAAGGATGAGGTCCTGAAGGAGAAGGAGAAGCTGGAAGAAAGCTGCTTTATCCTCCAGAAAGAGATTACCCAGCTGGCCCAGACCAACAGCCACATTTCAGCCAACCTCCTAGAATCCCAAAGTGAAAACCGTACTTTGAGAAAAGACAAGAGCAAGCTTACCCTTAAAATTAGAGAGCTTGAGACTCTTCATTCATTTACGGTAAAGTGAGAGGTTCTAGTATTGAGCACTCAGATTACTTACTAACTCTGCACTAACGTTAATGCTTAGGTGAATTTTCTTCATAGCAGCTTATGGAAATCCTTCCCATTAAGTCAGCTTTGTGTATATGTCCAGCATTTCATTACAACCTGAAAGGGTGATTCATTACTAAATGTCTAATTTCGGTAGTCTCTCCTCATTTGGGGGGAAAAAAATTCAAACTGTGAACAAAAAAGATTCATTTTTTAACTTAAGGAGAAGCTTTGTTAACTGTAAAAAGTTAACTTCTGTGTTTCTTAGAGGCTTCAGAGCAGTTTTAGAATGAACACATATTGAAATACAGTTTCTGCTATTTGGCTTTTAATTATTTCATTGTGTCTGTCCACTTGGAGTTAGTTAGAAGATTCCACTGAACTCTCCCTGGCTGATATTAGAATAAATGTAACCTGACTATATATACCAAATAAAATTGTAAGCAAATGATTGAAAATATTTTTATGATTTTTTAATGTTTAGTAACTATGAATTTGTACCATATGCATACATCTTTTTTATTCACAGCCACAATTGTATTTATTACTCAGTTTCTCTCATAGACTTTCCCATTAAATGCTTCTTATGAAACCCTTGAGCCTTATAATTGCCCAAATAATTTATGTTGTTATGTGAAAAATTCTCAGCCTAAATTGAGTGACTTCAGAAGCCCCAAATTTGAAATACAAGAATAATATTTCAAACTTACAACAGTAAATGTAAGAGACACAAAGTTATATAGGAATGTTATTCTTCATTATTACTAAGTACTCTGACAGGTGTAAGTCAGAATGATGAGAGGATGCTTGTTGACGTAACTTGAAACTTAGATGTAGATTTAGAGGGGTATGAGAATAAAGAAGTGGTGTAACAGCTTTCTAAATGAAAAATGTTATAGGAAGGGTTCATAACTTTGTTCTCCTTCACAGTACATACCCTTCATGTCTTGGTGTGTTTGCTTTAAGGTTGGGTTGATGACTCATCCTTTGGGCCCCCCCACCCTTAGCCACACTGACACTGAGTGCTGCCTGAGCAGCTCATTATAAAAGTCCCCTGATGGTGCCAGGGGAGGGTACCCTCCTTCCTTCCTTACTTTGTTTCCTTGTGCTTAGGCGACTCGGACTGCAGAAGATGCCATGCAGATCATGGAACAGATGACCAAAGAGAAGACTGAAACACTGGCCTCTTTGGAGGACACCAAGCAAACAAATGCAAAACTACAGAATGAAGTAATCATATTTAAATGGCTTTTTGTACAAAGAACAGCTTACCGACTTCATGGTCACTAACTCAGGAGTGTCTTTTTGAAGTGTGGACTTAAACAGGTTTGATCTGTGTTAGTTGAGCTGAATGTACAGCAAGCCTTGATAATGTTAAATAAAATATGTTACTTCATTACTTATTTCGTAGGACTAACCTTTAAGAATTCAGAGTAGCCAGGCGTGGTGGTGCACGCCTTTAATCCCAGCACTAGGGAGGCAGAGGCAGGCAGATCCCTGTGAGTTCAAGGCCAGCCTGGTCTACATAGTGAGTTCCAGGACAGCTGGGGCTACAGGGAGACCCTGTCTCAGACGGAAAAAAAAAAAAAAAGAATTCAGAGATTCAGAGTAACACTGGGTGGGGTGGTACGTGCCTATGAACCCAGTACTTGGGAGGTAGAGACAGAAGGATCAGGAATTCAAGACTAGCCTAGGCTACATGAGACCCTGTTTAAAAGAGAGAGAGAAAGGGGGGAAGATATCCTAAGAGCATGATTTCTAAGCTACTTAGGGATAGCACGTCTAAGTTTTTAGTATATCCTTTCCCTTGTTTGCTACACATATTTTCCCTCAACTCTCTTCCAGTTTGGAGATATTAAATTCCATTGCAAGCCCTGACAAGCCTTTTCTTGGCCTTGCTTCAGTATTTACTCCCTTCTCTGTGATCTTGAATTAGTTACTTCTAGAGCTTGGATAAATTAATGGCTTCAAAATACTTCTGTTCCATCTACATGCAGTATTTTTCCTCCTTTGACCTTCTGTAATGCCTCCGTTCCCCACCTTCCTAGCTCATAGTAACTTTGTCTTTGAAAAGCTGCTACCCTAATTCCTAGCAGATTGACTTCACTGAAGTGGGTATGTGAAGTTCTATACAGCTTTGTAAAGTCACAGGCAGGTATGGCATCAAGAAGGTAGTTCCAGGGAAGGAACTGACAAGTGACATAGCTACCATGAAGACTAGGCCTCCTTGTGCAAGGCCAAAGATCAAGATCTTCCAAGACATGAACATTTTGTGGTAATTATAGGATAAATAAAACCTCATAGAGAGAGGAGTGTGCTCAGGAAAAAAGGGGGGAAAAAAGCATAAAAATCAAAATTAGAAGTCAGAGGGGCTGGAGAGATGGCTCAAAGGTTAGGAGCACTGGCTGCTCTTGAAGAGGACCAGCACCCACATGGTGGCTAACAACTGTTCATAACTCCAGTTCCAGGGGATCCAACACCCTCTTCTGACCTCTGTGGGCATTGTATTACATTGGTACACTTACATACATTTAAGCAATACTCTCACACATAAAACAAAGTAATAAAATCTTTTTTTAAAAAAAAATTAGAAAAATAACTTATCAAACAACAACAATAACTTATCAAAAAATTAGAAGTCCTAGTAATTAAGATGATTTTTCAAGAATGTCTCTGAACTTTGAGGGTGGGTCAGGGAGAACTCTGTCCTCCCATAACATATCCCTTGGTTGTATGTATTATAGCCAGGCAAAAAGACTGGAGGCACTGTTTCTTAGACTCATTGCAATGTTTTATTTCCTTTTTTACAAATCTAGAATGTTAAAAGACATAAAAAGGAAGGTGGTAACGTCAAAACTAGTATGATACTTTCTGAATTCCTGGCTGGTGGTGTGTGACATGGCAAAAGGAAACAACTCTCTCCCCTGGCTATAAAATATATGGACCCAAAGCCCAGACTCCTAGTCGGACCCCAGGATCACACCTTGTACATGGATGAACTTTACAAGCTCCATTTTTGGTGGGAGCTCCTCCTCCTAAAACTAACTCCAGCCACCCAGCAGAGTTGCTAATCAGTCACATCCTACTCATGACATGTCTGACTTTCCCACTAGGAGGCAGGCCCTAAGCAGGTTGCTTCTCTTAGGGGTAGTGATGAGGCCTTCGACCTCACTGCCTGGCTTCTTCCTCTTCATAGAAACTTCAGGTAGTTAACTAATTTTTTTTTCCAATCGACAAATGGTTGATTCAAATAAGTTTTATAAGGAGAATGTCATAAATTTAGTCCTGACATTGGAATTTATCATCTCCTATATAACAAATCAATGAGAGGAGGAAAAGGGTTTTGTTTGATTACAAAGAATGATCCTTGATAATGTTACTGCTTGGTAACTTATTTCTTGCTTTTTAAAAGATGGATCATTTTGAATGACTTAAGTGATAAATAACGAGAATACATAAGACTACCACAGCTGGGCATGATGGCGCACACCTATAATCCCAGCGGTGAGGAGAGGCTGAGGCAAGAGAATTGCTACAAATGCAAGGACAGCCTGGGCTACATAGCAACACCTTGTTTCAGAAAAACCAGCTAAACAAAAGCCAGGATTAAAGAAAGCTTTTGTTTTAATAGATATAGAAATTTAGTTTGACATTTTGTACAGGTGTATAGGAAATGAAGGATGTAATGAAATTTGCAAGTTATAATCAACTTGTCATTTGTAATATCTTCACCAGGTAATACCCCCAAACTACTTATTGAAAGTGACTAATCTTTTCTAAATAAATACTTTTGTGAATAATTTATCCAGTTATATCATTGGAAAATGAAATAATTTCATTTTTTTTCTCATGGTCTTTTATAAGTTGGACACACTTAAAGAAAACAACTTGAAAAATGTGGAAGAGCTGAACAAGTCAAAAAAACTTCTGACTGTAGAAAATCAAAAAATAGAAGAATTCAAGAAAGAAATGTAAGTGATCTTTGAGAGAAATTAGCTTATTTTTGAGTGGCAAAAAGGAAAGCAATGCTAATTTATATTTATTTTATGTCTGTGAGTGATTTGCCTGCATGTATATAAATACTCTTGTGTCATGCAATACTTTTAGAGGCCAGAAGATGGCATCAGATCCCCTGAAACTGTAGTTGTTAGCCTTCATGTGGGTGCTGGGAACTGAACCCAGGTCCTCTGCAAGAGCAG